TTGTTTAGTTCATTGATGTTTGACTTTTGATGTTCGATAAAAAATAATTAGTTTTACCCATACTTAATAATAGTTTTACCCGTACTTAGTAGTAATTACCTACACTTAATAATAATATTATTTTAAGGATATTTAGTTATATATTTGAACTAGCTTTCCGTCCGCAGCTACGCCCGCGTGGAGTTCGGTTATATCGCGTTTCCAAGAGAACCTTTCAAAAGTCTGGGATAAAAACTATCCTATGTTCTTTCTCAAGGTAAACTCTATCTCTGTACCAAATTTCATTAAAATCAGTTCAGTGGTTTAGGCGTGAAAGCGTAACAGACAGACAGACAGAGTTACTTTCGCATTTATAAGATTAGTAGGGATTGTATTAAATATGAAGTTGTAAGTAAAATAAACAAAACAATAAAACAAAGTGATGAATTCCTTTGTTACTTTTGTTAATTTTTTTTATCAGACTATGTTAACGAAAATTATTTCCCACGGGGACAGCAAAATTTTTATATTTATTTGAAAACTGATATCAGCGATTCGGTTACTAAGAGATAACGGCCATTTGAGAGGAAAATTTTATTTTCAAAATGATAATTTAACTTGATAATGTAGATCATGAAATTTTATAGTCGATCGAATATTTAATGAAAACATAATATTATATATATCTTTATATATATAATTCTTCTGTGAGTGTATATGTCACTGAACTTCTCTCAAACGACTGGACTGATTTTGATGAAATTTTTTGTGTGTGTTCAATGGGATCTGAGCAGTGGCGGCTGTACTTTAAGTGCACTCGTGCGCTGAACCACCAATTCAGAAGATTTAAAAGTTACAAAATATTACTTCATTTTTTTTTTAAATTACCATTTTAATATTTATTTCTTAAACATATAAAAACATATAAAAATAAAATTTTCTAATTATGGTCAAAAAGTTTGAGCACTTTACTAAACTCATATCGTGCTCTTCGGCGAGTGCACGAGAACTGCTAATACATCTTGTATGAGATAGGAATTAATACGCCTGACGCGTGAAACAAAACATACTTCATAGAAATGTATCGAGTAATGAGTCGGTTCTCGAGCGCCGCACGAGCGACCGAAGATTACCGAGAGCACCCGATGTATGACGAATTGAGCCGCGATTGACATCTCGTTATGTTTTGTTGCATTTTCTAATTTTAATATTTTAGTAAAGTGCACCACCGGTTCGATTACCCACCGGCCGCCACTGGATCTGAGAATTGTTTAGATTCACATTTTTGTCCGCTGGATAATGATTTTTAATTAATTTTTAATCTATTAGTAGTTGTTGATACAAACATTTTTTTTTTGACATTAGATTTAACAACTAACTAATATGTCAATCATTCTGTCGCACTTCAAAACACGCAGATATATGGCTTTAATAGGTAAACTCCAAAAATATAAATAAAAAAACGTAACAGATATTTCCTGATTATAGGGCGATACGAAGTTCGCCAGGTCTTCTAGTATAGAATATATTACATATTATATACGTGTAATGAAATGACATTTCATGACGACGCGCGTTTGTAACTTGTCGACCAGAGACGCGTCACTATTGACTCAATGGCGAATTATGTTTAAGTTTTTGTGCACTTTATGATTATTAAAACGTGTAGAGAGATAAACTAAGGGACACAAATGAGGAGGCGATATTAGTGGACTTTAATGTCGTTTCCTTGTATTTTTAGAGAAACAAATTGTGGTTTGCTTTGAATGCCTTCGATAATATTCCTTATATACGTTTAAGAGGGAGATAGTATTGGGAGCTGGTAATAAGTTTTTCTTATAAAACAATAGCTATCACAAAGAAAGTTTAATTTCAAACAAGACCAATTTATTCATAGGTATGTATGTGATAAAATAAAAACAAATTTGAAGCAATACATAGTCTAATTTAAACAATTATATAATATAAAAGATTAAGATATTTCAAATCAATGACTTTTAATTTGATATCTAAGAAAATAAATTCAATATTTCAACAAAGAGTATGTAATTGATATTATCGTCCGGAAAAACAATTCCTCTTACTCCATTTACCATCTACTCTATCTCTTCTTATCTTCTTCTACCTGGCAATTTCCCAGCTATAGCCAGGGTCTGCCTTACATGCTGTGAATAGTTTTGGCTAATTGTTTTTACGACCGGCCGCCTGTCTGACATCAACCCTCTTTGGGAATGCATTAATCAGTGATGTCTAAATATTCTTACAAAGTACATATGACTTGAAATTATCACATTGGTACGGTCCTTATATACGTTTAAGAGATAGTATTGGGAGCTGGTAATAAGTTTTTCTTATAAAACAATAGCTATCACAAAGAAAGTTTAATTTCAAACAAGACCAATTTATACATAGGTATGGATGTGATAAAATAAAAACAAATTTGAAGCAATACATAGTCTAATTAAAACAATTATATAATATATGTAAAACATTAAGATATTTCAAATCATATTAGTATTTGCCCGGGCCAGGATCGAACCCGCGTCCTCGTGCATGAGAGGCGGGCCTTTTAACCATTAGGCCACCACTGACTTCTTATCTCTGTTAAAATTCTTTATCATATCCAGGTACAATGCTCCCAGTAGACGAAGTCCGGCGATGATTAGCCCGATGTATCGGGCGCGAGAACATGCGCCAACAGCCGTCCGATGTAAGTATACTATAGTTTTTACGCGGTTTTACACGCTTAGGTATATTAATATTACAATAATACAGTTTAAAAGTATCACTAGTTAACGGGACAAATGACTTTTAAATGGAAATGTTATAAATATTTCAGCTAAAAGAATTGTGTCTTATTTATTTAATTGAAATTTATACTAATATTTTTTGGATATAATTTTGGAGTACTATAAAAATAAATCGAAGGTAACATATTAAGAGAAATAAAACAGATATTTTCATGTCTAAGGTTATAGTGATAGCATTCCCGTTATAACTAACTATAATATCTGCAATATATATTAAAATAAATTCCTAATATTTATATTGATATATTATTATAGTATATTTAATAGTTATAAGATTTTTTTGTTATAATAGTCCACAGTATATGGTTACCTATATACATAAAAGAATCCAAAGTATTTGGTATTGAGTACAGTAAATTCTTAACAAGCTAATGATTTACTAACAAAAAATGTAACGCTATTTTTATATTCGTAAATACCATTAATATTACATTTAATGTAGCCTAATTATTACTATTATAAATGAGTCTAGGCTTTATTTTAGTTTAGTAATGTCATTTGTATGAGAAAAATACAATTAGTAATATGTACTACTTTGAAGAGAAACATTAGAAGTTTGTATTATAAATTATTATTAATAGTTTTCGAGGTTGCTGCATGTAATCAAAATCTGTAAAACTAAATTTATCTTTTATTTTTAATATTCTAAAAGCTTATTTCCTTCTGTAGAATTAAACTTATCTTTTATTCTTGATATTCTAAATGCTTATTTCCTTCTTGCGATATAAATAACGATACATGTTGTATATATGTCGTCTCAGTACATAATATAAGTACTTACTATTATGAACACTTACAATAAACTGTAAACGCTATCTGCTAAAACGATTCTCTGCCCGTCATATAAAGAGCGTTCAGATAAAATAATATGGATAAAATATTAAAGTTCCTTTTAAATACATTACGCTAATCCCTACTAATATTATAAATGCGAAAGTAACTCTGTCTGTCTGTCTGTCTGTTACGCTTTCACGCCTAAACCACTGAACTGATTTTAATGAAATTTGGTACATATAGAGTTGACCTTGTGAAAGAACATAGGATAGTTTTTATCACAGACTTTTGGAAGGTTCTCTTGGAAACTCGATACAACCGAACTCCAAGCGGGCGAAGCTGCGGGCGGAAAGCTAGTGTTTAATATTTATTAAACCCCTCAGATAAATTTGAAATATATAGCAATAGTGATTGAATCAGAAACCGTAAACAATCTAATAAAAACATTTCATGCAATGGCAAAATTAACATCGGTTTATTTATCTATAAGAAAATATATTATGAAAATGAAATCACTAAGAGACGAGAAAAACAGGAGCATTAATTCGTTATGAGATCAACGAACGCTCCTTTTTGCCATTCACTGAGATCCGGCTGGATCATTTGAATATATTAATCGTTGGATTGAAGAAAGATTCTTATTTAACGTTAAAATATTTACGAGTTTATCCTATATTATCATTTGAAATGAAAATTTTCTTTGTTATAATCATCCAAAGAGATTTATTTATGTAAATAAAGTAAGGTTTCAGGTTTGTTATTTTTGATAACGGAATTGAAAAAAGTGATAATTTGTAATAGACGCCATCAAATAAAATAACACTGACATATTTGTTCATCTTCTGGACAATATTTATTAAATCAAAGCAACGAAATAGTTTTTCTCTCTAGCAATAAATCTTTGACAGTTTGACGTTCTATATTGATTCAATTTGTAGATAACGTATGTATTATTGAAGTATGATATAATTTTTATCGTTCACATAAAATATCATAAAATATAAGATATAAAAGTTTGACTTGAATCTTTTGAAAGTCGATTTAAATCTTTATATCTCCAGGGTAGTTGTAAAATAGACGCCATTAGTCAGAAGTTGTGTGGCGGGAATCACACCATAAAAATACTTGTGCTATAAAGACTTACTGAAACTATTTCTTAGTATTTTATACTAACAAGTGGGTTTTATTCGATGAGAATTTTAATGATTGTTATTATTAATGAATTTAATATTAAAGATTTATATATTATATTGGTAAATTATAATACATGTTATTGATTTAATTTGCCGTTTATATGATGTTGGAATCATTTGTAATTAGTGAAATAATCGAAAGAAAAAGAACACAAACCAAGCTCGTTTATTTAAATCAAAAACCAGTTTCATACAAATAAGCACCATTATTGTTTTATTAAGTAAGCTTGGTTTATGCTTATAGACGGTCGACAAGGCGGTCTGCACGGAGGAGTCTGGCGCGGCTCGCCTGGAGGCTGTGCTAGTCGCGCTCGTGGAGAAGAAGGCTCGTGCCTTGCACGCAGAGCACGCGCGACGCACGCACCCGCTGCTGTTACTGCTGAGAAGTCATGTGTCTGATGGTGAGTTACACACACACACGCACATGCACGCACGCACGCACGCACACACACGCACACATACTCCCACATTAGTTATTCTTCTTCTTCTTCTATTTGACAATTTCCCAGCTATAGCCAGGGTCTGCCTTACATTTTGAGAAGATTTTTGGCTATTTGTTTTTACGACCGGCCCGCCTGCCTGACATCAACCCTCTTTTTGGGAATGCATTAATCAGTGATATCTAAATACTCTTAGAAGTACATATGATTCGGAAAAATCACATTGGTACTTGCCAGGGCCAGAGTATTATCCCACATTAGTTATTATTGTTCAACAATTTGGTTTTCACCATACTATTGTGTTAAAGGTTTTATTTCACTGGTGTTGAGTATAAGAACAATGAGTTTTTCGGTAAACAAGATAAAATATGTACTGGCCTTCTATACTCGTGTTGCATAATATGTATAAGAATTAAGGTAATAAATACGTTTATCTATAATCCCATGATATATGTATTATATGTAGGGAATATTTAGATGTTGGTTCCCAGGATTGACAATGGATCTTTAAGGCCATAGTCTTACAAGTTGTTAAAATTTTTAGAACCTTAAAAGTAGAATAACAAACTTTTATAAAGGATAGGATTATTGTTATTCAATACTAAATAAAATATTATTTCGAGATATTAGACTAGTCTGAATTTATAACGGCATTTCATGCTTTACAGAAATGTCTATGTCATTGTTTTTGTATGCGGTTTAGGTGAAAAAAACATAACTTCTGGCTAACAACGTCTTAATTACTGGGTCATTTCATTAACAGATATTTGAACATTGCAGTATTTTTTTAAAAATAGTAATACATTTTGAGATTCTTGAAAGTTCGTGATGGTATATCTAAGGAAAAAAACATGTATGCTAAGTAAGTAAGTATGCTATGTAAGACGAAACTTCTCATCATTCAATGTATACACCGTGCGTGTGTCGGGTCCATCGTTGTAGTGAGAGGAGCTTCAACAGTGACTGGGACTTGTGACCCAGGTGTAGGTTTAAGGGGCCCTATCTAACGCATTAAACGCTCGCCTCCACTGTCCAAGCTCCTTTCTCTACCTTGGACTTTCTTTTTTATTGAAATTAATTTCGTAAGAGAATAAAGTAATCGTTACAAAATATTAGTTTTGAATTAATTGATCACGAACTTTTTATATCTTAATCTGCTTGACAACTTAGTCTGTTTGACAAATATTAGTATATTTTTCTGTGAGATTGTTACTTGTTGGCAATTCAATTCTCTAACTAATTAGACCTTTTTTTTAATTTATTATTATTAATGAAACCAATTTCTTTACTATGCGTTTTTATTATTTTATACCCATACTCCCGAAATTTCTGGTCCTTTACAGCAACCGTGATCACGAACAGACGAGATGAAAGTGTATAGCTACAAAATAATTCGAAAACCTTAGTTATATTTAAATGAATATTATATATCTTTTGTATGGAATAAATTGAATTATATTTACAACTCAACTGTAAATCTAGCTTCAATCTTATTTGGTAGTTGTTCACCTTCGTCTTCCAAATCTGACATAAGCCTGAAATAAAGCCTGGTTTAAATCAAGGATTTGGTCTGTTTGACATTCTAAGACAATGTTAATAATGAATAAAGTATAAATAAACTATCGGCAGAAGTAAAAATAGGATAGTGCTCTATAAAGAAAATGTTATTTAAAAGCGATTTTATTAATATCTATTTTAAGGTTCAAGATTGTATATTTAATTTCTATATATGGAAAGTTTATATATATGTACATGTATATTTGTTCAAAATTTCGGAATGCTTGCTACGAAGTTTCAATATAGTTACAACCATCTACGAAGTACTGCTACGAAGCTACGATGCTACGTCGTAGACACTACACTACTATTTCATTGAAATGCATTCATTTAATTACACAAATTTACGTGATATTTTTTGTTCTCGAAACAACTTTATTAAAGTATCTCAAATTTAATTTCATTGTAAAATAAATTTTATGTGATTGTAATAAAGTACATAATTGTGTGTACGTGATGTGTTAATCAGTTTGGCTTGTAAAATACCAAAAGTAGGTTACATGCTAATTACTTGGCTAATACTTTGTTATAATTGAAAACTTTTTGAGTGCACAGCTATCTAAAGTTGCGCAGTGCTAAAGTAAATCTCTGTGCATTAATTGTATCAAATTGGGACTGGTCATTAAATTCCAATTAAATTAATCTATCAATATTTTATTGCTGACAGTTAAGTCGTGGTGGACTAGTGGTTAAAGGGTCCGCCTCTTATACATGAGGGCGCAGGTTCGAAACCTTGCAAGTACCAATGTGATTTTTCCGAGTCATATGTGCTTTCTGAGAGTATTTAGACATCACTGACGGTGAAGGAAAACACCGTGAGGAAACCTGGACTTATAATTTCAAATTATAAGTTTGAAATCTCCAACCAGTCTTGACCAAGCGTGGTGATTAATGCTCAAACCTTCTCCATGTGAGAAGAAGCAGCTCAGCAATGGCCTCTGATAGGTTGATGATGATTAGTTATATGCAAATAAAAGAATCAGATTTTGCATTGTTAGCAACTGGAACTATACAAAAAGTTTTATCACTTTAGATACATGTTTTCTCATATAAAAAACAATTTTTCCAGAAGAGGCGTCGATCGTGGACAGCCCCGGCGAAAGGCTGCCGTCACACTGGTGCGAGAACGAATACGACAAGAGGCATCGGAAAAAGAAACTTAAATTACAGACACACAGGTAAATTAATAACAAATAAATAATATGCTTTTTTAATTGGAATAGGCATAAGATATGATATATATATGGTGTAGTTGGTTTGTTCATCATTATTGTTTTTTGGGTAAAATTGGCTATACAGATTTAGCTTGATTGATTATTTATTTTATAATTTATTATACATATGAGTTCGTTCCTCGCTTTCATGCAAAAGTAAACTAAAGGTTGTAGACCTCAAAATAGTAAAAATAATGACAAGCTAAAGTTTTAAAGTTTCCGATGAACAGAAACATTATATAATTTAATCATCCTGTATATTATGTATTTCATATTACTGTCGAAAGCATAGCTCTATATATTCATATATATATATATATATATACAGGGTGACTGGTGAATTACTATCGATACTTGAGGACGTGATATTTGACGATCATATATGACAAAATAAAAATTAATATAACATAAATATTAATAAACTTCTAAGTAAAGTTAACCAAAAGTTGTGTAATTAATTACGCATCGTGTGAACACCCTACAGATTAGGTATACACACACACTCACACACACGCGGCGGGGGCGTGGTTTTGTATCAGCACGCCGCCGCACGCGTCCACACTTGGAACACTTGAAACGTGTCAACACTTTATTTATTTATACGGAAATTTGGTCAAAAATTAAGTACCTATTTTTTTTACATAATTCGAATGAGAATCATGTACCGAGTATGCTCCTTAAATATTGATAGTAATTCACCAGTCACCCTGTATATGTATATAGTTATAACATAGCTTCAGTATCAACAGGCTGTACATTTATTTCTTATTATTTTCATATAACATGACCTTCAGAGACGAGCTCATCAGTCCCGAGGAATTGGAAATGGAGCGACGAAGGAGGCGCCGCAAGAGACACGCACACACGCACACGCACACACACACACACAAGCCCCGCAAACATCGCACGCTGCTCGTGTCCGCTATAGACGAGCAGGCTAAAGTTATACATGTGAGTATTGTGTCAACTCACACACACACACGCACACAAAGACTATATATACTCACACTCACGAACACGTATAATCTGCGATAAGTAAATACACAAAACACTCACACACATACGCTAGATATACCCACACTAACAAAGAATTTAATCCTTGATACATAATAGGAGTTAAAATATTGTATTAATCAAAGTCTATTAGCTTGCACTCACGCACACAAGTAAATGACTACATAAGAACAAATATGTAAATCCTGAGAGAGACATATGACCAAAAACGATGAAAATTTGAGAGATAAAATGTCAGATTAGTGATAATAATAGTTTTATTTAAAAGGAAGGTAAAAAAACTACTAAAAATTAACATCATTGCACTTCTGACACGAAAACCAAAGATACATTTTACCGTCATAAATATATATACTTTACTATTAATACAATACTATATAGTGTGTTCGTAAAATTGGCATTTAATTTTATGCTTCAGTATACAAATGTATTTGAACAGCTCACTAGCCGTTATATTTTATGTTTGACATTAGTTGTGCGTTTATAGACTTTAAGCTTGTATTATACGGATATAACAGATGGTTTTAACCTGGTAATATTATACATATTAATAAATAATGAAACATATATATATTATAGCCGGAAATATGTATTGTGTAGGAAACTGAATAGTTTCTGGGAATGTATTACTGTAGTTGAAGAGACTTAAAAATAATAATCATTTTGCGTGAAGTCCCTCCGTGAGTAAGAATTCAAACTTTGTAATATTGGAATAAAAATAGGAACGGATAGAAATAGATTTTTCAGGAATTCTAAGTGTTTCTTTAAGACAAAGTTTATTAACATGACTCAGGTTCTAATATATTGTTCGTATGCATTCGAGCGCCACATATTCCCTTTTGCTCTGCTCACTTTTTATCCCCCCTACAGAAGCGTTAAATGCTTAACGCAACCTCGTTGGAAGTCGCATAAGAAGTTCCACTTCAATAATTGTTAGGCAATTGAATCTAAATGTACATTGGCTTATACTGAATTTTAATACATTCGAAGATATTATGAGTGTTTCTGTTATAGTCTTTATTCAGTCGTTTATGAGCGAATTTGTTATTTTTTTAAGAGTCCAAAATTAAGCCGTAGACACCAGTTGATCCCGTAGAGGTTGCATATATGAGAATAATATTATAAATTCTAATTGTTTGTTTCGTTTGTTATAAGAGCTCTTTATTTTATTTTGGATAAGTTTTTTTTGGAAAAATAACGTGTGTTTATTTTTTACTAATTCACCACATTATATTATACAATTAGGATTCTAACAAAATGATTAAAAAATACAGTTGTCTTATAAAGCTAGTAATTTAAAAAAAACTTATCAAACCTTAACTAGAACAAACTAATTATTATTTATTACCTTAAACTAAAACACCTTCAATAAGTCAAATTCAATTTACAAAGACACAAGTCGCGTAAACAAAATACTTTCCCGCGTAAAACTGAACAAAACAAATGTCATCGCTTTAACATCACTTCGGGGGCGTTCGGGAATTTAAAGGTTCGTTTCAAATTAAATGTGTGTTCCCTAAATATGTATTAATATTGGTGCTGTTGAGGTTTTTCAATGTTTTACCCAAAGTAGGATTAATTTGAAGTTACTATACTCAAAATTAATATAAATATAAATACATGTTATGTTTAGGCTACTCAAAATTAATATAAATATAAATACACAGTACAGATTTTTGTTTGGAAAATATATATTTAGCAATTTAAGGCTCATCTTTATAATTTTTACAGATTTTCAAGATTAGTTTTGGGTTTCTCGTTTAATTATTATTATAAGCAGCAATCTATTTGGGCAAATTATGAGAAATATTTAATTGTGTAGGGACATTCCTAACTACTATTAGTTAACAAACATCCGTGGTTCAATTTCTTCTGCTAAGGACACGATTTTGTCTAACTTTATAATTCATGTATGATGATTATATTTATCACAAGTCCCAATATAATGATATTTTTCTTGTTATTTTAACGTGGCTATAAAGTTGTAGGTGTTTGTACTCAATGTTATAAGAAGATTTTAATTATTTTCAGCCTACAACTAACTTTAACGCTAACCCATAGTCATGACTATCCAAGGGTTCCTTGAGAACTTCGGTCTCAGAAATTTTGAGATTTTTTAGCATTAAAATATTATACTAAGAGGAGATGTTCATTTACTCACCACTAATTCTGTCATTTTGAAAACTAAATATAAGCAAAGTATACTTACCATTTATGTTTGCTCTTAAAAGTCTTTGAAATTGTTCAGAATAACATTTTCTATTGCGTTTATTCGTATAACATGAAAAGTAAATATTATGTACTATGTCTATGGTTGGAATAGTATTTACATTTCACAATCTTCGAATTCAGTTCTTGCTTGAAGCTAGCATATTATTAAATATCATTAAAGTTAAATATTCAAATGCTTACAGCTAACTTTTTTCTGATTGCGTAACGCCATCTTTGTTTCTGTTTGAGATTGCAAAGCGCCCTCTTACGACACTTGAGTGAAACGTTAACGAAGCCAGGATATAAAATAGTCCTAGATGGTATTTGTTAGATGGCGCTATTGATAACTTATCAAATATACGTACAATTTTAATTAAAACTAGCAGATTAGTCCTCTAACTGCGACAATACTAATAAAACGGCGTCTTACATTATAATATAAAAATATTATACATGTAGGTATTTGCATTTATTGATTTATTCAGAAATATTTAAAATTTTAAATTGTTACGGTTTTTAACATCCGACTCAAAAAGAGGGTTGTTTGTAGTGTGTGTGTGTGTGTGTGTATGAATATGTGTGTAAGTGTATTACATTGTATTTCTAAAACAGATGGACCGATTTCAATGTGGTTTTCTTCGATTGTTAGCCAGTATCCTTTCGAGGGTTCTACATATTTTTGCGACTACCGATATTAAGGACGAGTAGTTCCAAAAGATTTTTTAAAGCACGTTTGGTCTATTATGACTCGTTTAAGTGAATAAAGAGGGAAAGAATATTTAAATTTTGATTTTAGGTTTGTTACTATTTTAGCTATGATTGTTATTCCTAACAATAATAACAAACTGATATTTACATAGCGTCTACTATTTAGCAAACTTATTATAAGGTAAACGAAATAGTCAAAATTAAAACTAACATAAAAAATTGTCGTAGTACATATATTCGAAAATCATAGTTTCATTTCAATAAAGTTAAATTTAAAAGCACTTTTGAAAGTTTAAATTATTTATTCTATAAAATATATTTTATTTAAGGTAACCATTAAGAAAAACTTTACTCAGTATAATCATTTATAGTATACTTTTCATTCTTCTTCAATGAGAAGTTAATAAGGCAAACTTAATCAAATAATTTCGCTGTTGTTTATATAGCGGTGTGAAAATTATAACATCAAGACCATTCAACTTCTCTTACAATTTTATTTGTAAACATCTCGTCTTAATCTTGAGGGTATGAGGTTGTTCTTAAGGATCATTAACAACAGGAACTGAAGGCGTTAGAAAAATTTAAGTTGGTTCTTGAGAGCATCGTAACAATATAAAATGCGTAATTATTATTTTTTACGTAACATAATTGTTTAATTTAATGTATTAAGAATTTTATGTAATATTTTTAAACATATGTTTTACATTAAGTTATATATTTTATGTTATAGTTATTGATCTTTTAATTTATAAGATAGAGAAGATAAGGAAAATAATATAGTAAATTTTGTTTTTACTACCGAGCAGTTTATTGCATAATTCGAAGAATTATTTTCTTAATATGTTTCATAACCAAACTCTCTCGGAAGGAGAACCAGATAAATCATAGGCCAATCAAACTTGTTTGCGCTAGAAAAACATAAAATATGTACCTATACTTATATAATAAAATCTTGAGAAGTCAATACAAATATGTTTAAAAACGAAAAGAGTTAGCTATAATTCGTTCCTAACAAGAAACCTTCGTTATTATTAAGACAAAATCAAAATCTTATATCATCCATAATAATAAAATTAGCTAAAATTCGTTTCAAGTAAAAAATCTTAGTTATTATTCAGACGAAATCTAAACATATGCATCTATTAATAACAGCGCCATCTATGAAATGTTTACAGTAAACATATTTTCGTCTAGGTGTTAGATCCGGATGAATTGCCTCGTCGAGCTCGTTATACCATCATGGTGACGGCCTGTCTCCTGCTCTTTCTGTGTCTCCTGCTTGTGGGAGTAACCTTGAGGATGGCGCCGCTTATTGATGATATGGGTGAGTCGATTTATACACACACACACACACACACACATACACACACAAACACATACATAGATTCACGTACTGTATGTATGTATTATACTAAGGTTACCTTTTGTACATATTTGTCAATGAATACATGTTGACAACATCAATTTACCTTAAATTTGCATAGCTAGGGAGTAAACTTAATGTAAATACCTCATTTAAATGAATGTGTATGAAATATACCGATAATATTTAATAGGTTTATTCACTTTTTTATCGTTAAAATACTTTGAGTGTCTTTACTGCTAACCAAAGTTTCTGGTGGTGCATTATTATGAAATTTCTTTTTAATTTACGTTTTGTTCTTATTATATCACAAACGATATTTAACAATACTTTTATTTCACAATACCAGAGCTTTTATTTGCTATTTTTATATACGGACCTTTTGAATATTAACTATACAAAATTTAAAGACGAAAATTATTTTATCAAATAATATCTTTGGTAGTTTTCTGTGAATTTAAGATTTATATCTGAATTTTTCACATTAAATTTTATAGCTTATATAAAATATTTTATCCCTCTTCAATATTTATCTTTTCAAGTTATTCATCAACTCTTTAAATATCTTATTTGCTAAACGAAACTTCTGATTCGTGTAATGTAGACATTGGAAATACTTCGACGAACTTTTTGAGCTATCAAAAGGTAATCCGATAAAATAAACAGAACTTGATTTAGTTCAAACAATTAAATGTTATCTTATTTGAAAAGAAAATAATTTTTGAAATTTAATCTCAAATGTATGTACATTGAAGAACTGTGTAGAGAATACTGTGAAAAAATATATTTATTTAAAAGGTTTTGTATTATATAAGCTAGAAATTATGTACTTGTTAAATCTTATATATAAAATTTTGTGTCGCGGTGTTAGACACAGAAATCCGAAGCGGCTAGACCGATTTTGTTGAAATTTTGCGAGCATATAGTCTGAGAATCGACCAACATCTGCTCTTCATAGCCCCAAGTCATAAGGGTTATTCACCCTTAGTTTTTTTTATATTCGAACGAAATTTTTTGTTTTTATAATTTTATTATATCGCATAAAAAATACATGCAACCCAAAATTTTTACTTTTTTATCAACAACTCCTATTTTATACATGGCGAAACAACGTTTGCCGAGTTAGCTAGTGATCTTATATAATTAAAGGAGCCCTGTTCGTTTAATACTGATTTAAATTGTCAGTTTCAGTGTAATTAATATTAATAGTTTACAAAATACGTTATATCAGAACAAATTCCTGCTCAGTAACGATCGGTTCGTAAAATTAATTAAATTTAATTACACGATTATACTACTATAATATTATTTTAATAATGCACTTTTCATATTATTATTTTTAACGGATAATATTATACTTTATGTATTTAAAGTAAATAGGTGATAGTAAGTATTAATTACTGTAAATTTGAGTGAAAATAACCCCATGATACGTGTTGAATGATCATTTAGGTGAAGAAAAATGTTAAAATACGATGATTTTTCAAAGCATTTTGTATAATCCAGGTCCAAATTTATTTTACACTAATACGGTTTTATCAATACGACTTCTTCAAATTAAATGAAAACACTACACGTTTATGGTTATTTAAAAATGAAAAGCAGACTTTAATTTTGCTTCTGAAAATATTAATTTATATACCAATTTAAATTTGATATTAATAACTGCGTCAGACAATTTTCTCCGTCGTTATAGTCCAAGTACGAGTATTGTACGATTGCCATCTAGTTTCATGATAAAGTTTTTTATTACATCTCAAGTGCGTTCCACCCAATCTGAAGTAAAGAAGTCTTCAATAAAACAGAGATATTTTCTCGTTTACAACAAATGTAATAAAAAAATTCTGTTATTAGAACTGAGACTGAATTTTTCGCGTCACCGTCTCACGATTGTCCCGTCTGGAATGAAGTATTACTTAAAAAGAGAAAAATTTATTTACAGAAACTCATTATAATGTTATGATCTTTTGTACCTGAGCAATACAATGTTATAAGAAAATGTTAATCGTACTTGATTTGAACGAATAGTTTTGTTACAAATTATATATATATACATACATATATAGTTATTTTATGATGATTATTAGTTTAACATACATACATTGTCAGTAAACGTGAAGTTCTGTGACAAAATGAAAGTCATTTTCTGATTCAGAAAATCAGAACATCCAAAAATATAAAATTTACGCAAAAAAAACAAAACAGTTGATTTTTTGTAGACATATGATAATCTACAGAAAAAAATATACAAAGGATACAAAGAAATATTTGGAACATAGTTTAAATTTAAATGAATATTGAACTTCTACATATATAGAAAAATGACATTTTTATATTAGCTTCTAAATTGCACTTTATAATACATTACAAATGTTTTAAAAATATCAATTTTATTAAGTTTTGTAATATTTTTGACCTAATATTTCTGTTGTGTCAGGTAATTTATTTTAAGTTTTCTCGAATTATCAGAATCTAAGGTGTAAATTAAAATATTACTTTGAAAACATTGATTTTTCAAATGGTTATTGATCAAAAACTGACAAATTTCTATGGGAAGGCTTATAAACCTATATTTTTTGGATAAATATAAAATACTAAATAATGTAGAATTTTTTTAATATCCTGGATCCTGGAGTTCATCGAAAGATCCTTCATATTTTAAAAATTTCATAACAGTTTGAGAAAATTGAGGTGATCGAGAAAATTTGCATAATTAATTAAAATTCGATTTAATTTTGCGGAACAAATCATACTATTCGGTGTTAATTATAACTTCAAATATACAACAAACATAAAATTGTTTTGTTTTTCTCAAATATACTTTCTATTCTTCTATTTTGTTTAAGCATTATTACGTTTTTTGTTATTTTCGCTTCATTCTTTATACTTGTATTTAATTTTCACTCGAGCCCCTCATTCATAATGACATTATTCACCACATCTAAATAAAGCCGTCCAAATAATTAAAAGAGGATAATTAAGTTTAATTCTATCAAAGTTTTACATTCATAAATGTTTGAGAAATTGTTGACAGTTGCTTTGTTAATTTGTAATTTTTTATTAAAATTTCCTGTACCTATTTTTACGTAAAGCTCGTAGTTTTTGTGACCTGTTCTGTAAAAGTTTCAGGTTAAAGCGTCGTCGACAATAACGTTTTAAAAGTTAACAAAATTTCGTTGCATCAACTGATCTGAGTTAAACGCTTGTCGCCGGCACTTTGTGATGTTCAGTCATGCAAGCAAACGTCCAGTTTAGACTATTTTTGTTATGAACTAGCTTCGGATTAAGTTTGAAATACACTCCCGTAAAATATTTACCAATATTTATTAACAAAAGGAAGTTAATTTTTTATTTTGATTATTACTTGTGTTGTTTTCTAATGGTACATATATTAAGCGTACGTTACGCGTGTACATATTGCATTTCAACCTACTTCTACATGGTTGAAATTATGCATATTATAAGTACATTCGATTGATATTTCTATTAAATATGATCTTATTATTTAAATATCAATTTAAAAAAAATGTAGTGGGTAAAAAGTCTAAGGAAGTAAGTACATACTTAACATTAAAAACAAATAAGATTAATCTCTTGAATCAGGAGTTTTTTTTGGATTTACCTTAAAGAATCTTGCGATTCTTCGATCCCAGCCACACTTAATATGAAATTAAACTATGTTTTTTGTAATAACTAAACGATTTTATTAATTATTTTTTACATTTTCCTAACGTTTGGATTAATTAATGACGTGATGAAAGTGCCAGACTGTCATCTCGTCTGTCCGTGATCACGGTTGCTGTACGAAATACGAACCAGATTATATTTGACGATATCTAAGATTTTTATGTGTACACATTTAAAACGATATTAACTTTTACGTATATTGTTATCATAAAAATATATAAAGAAGTTGAATGTTAAATATATACAATTTATTTATTTTTCCAAAGATTCGTTATCTCTGAACAAAATGGGACTTTTATATATGTATTCATATACATATAATTTATTTGTATAATCAGATATTTTGTTCTATTTATTGTTTTTGTAATCCTATGTAAATATGAATATAATTGCCTAGCTAGCCTAGTTGTATTGTTAAAACAACATTATATCTGAGTCAGTTTTGTCCGGAAAGCGTTTAAATTCCTTAAAAGATTCAGAGACACGTACGCCTTTATTATAGCCAACGAACAAATCCTCTATAAACTAACTAATACTATATAATAACATTGTGTCTAAAATTAAATATGTTAATTTCAAATCAAATAATTTCTCATATAAGGAGTAAACATTTAAATTATTTTAATGTACATATATATTCGCAATTCGAGACTTAATTATACTAATTATGCTTGTCTGTTTTATGTAATTTTATATCAATAAATTTGTTCTTTATGTAGTAAAGTGGGTAATTTGATATAACTTGTGTATAAGATTTGTATTTAATAGACAGTTTGTGCCATACCATTTCATTCGTAATATAGCGGTACTCAAGCAGCAAGTATATTTATTTCTCCCTATTAACGATAGTTCAGTGGCGTACGAGTTCGGGATATTTAAAATAAATAAATTTAAAGAACAAAAGTGAAATGGCGTGCGGAAAATTAAACGAATTTGACATTAATTCCGGGGACTGGACATTATACGTGGAAAGGTTAGAAATGTACTTTAAAGTGAACAAAGTGGAAAAAGACTTATGGCTGCCTACTTTAATTACCGCGATCGGTGATCAAGCGTATGAATTGCTTAGCAGTTTGGCGAGTCCGATTAAACCAGTGCAATTAACATATGATGCGGCGGTTGCATTATTGCGTAATCACTTACAACCGCGGCCGTCCGTAATGGCGGAACGTTATCGCTTCCGACAAAGAAGACAACGGAACGATGAATCTGTGGCGCAGTACGTAACCGAATTAAAAAAATTATCGAAATACTGTGAGTTTACGAATAATCTAGAAGAAAACTTGCGGGATCAATTAGTGTGTGGGTTACGGAGTGACGTCACACGGCAACGGTTATTCGCTGAGGATAATTTAAATTATAACGGCGCGTTGAAGTTGGCATGTGCCCTAGAAGCAGCTGAACGGGATGCTGCAGTGGTGGAGGGCTCGAAGGCACCCTCTGTAGAAGGGGTTCACGTGATGATGGGTCGTGGATCAAAGGAGCCTGAAACAAGGCAAAGGGGACCGAAGCAGCCTGGACCTAGGATCCCTGTCCCAAGTGATTGGACATGGGGGGAGGACAAAAGCTGTTCAACGTGCGGGAAGCCAGGCCATAATAACAAGGTTTGCCGCTATAAAGGTTTTACATGTCGGAGATGTAAAGAAAAAGGACATCTGCAACGGGTTTGTCCGAGGTCGGGAAGCCCTAGAAGAGGAAAGAAAGTCAACCATGTGGCTGCCTCTGATCGATCGGACGGTGATAGCAGTTCGGAAGAGGAGTTGCATCAACTCAGCTTAAATAGTTATAAGCCGGTAAGCTTAGAAATATGCATAGATAATATTGTATTAAAAATGGAAATAGATACAGGGTCTGCAGTGTCATGCATTAGCAAGAGAACGTATGATAAATATTTTAAGCATATAGTAATAGAAAAAAAAACTTAACCTTTAAGTTTTATGATGGTAGCTCGATACAGCCGTTAGGGATAATTAAACCTAATGTTTGTTATAATAATGTATGTAAAAAATTAGATTTATTTGTTATTGAAGGGGGAACTACGTCGTTATTGGGGAGACAATGGCTGTCCGAGCTAGGAATACAAATACCCTCTTTTCATAAAAATATTAATTGTGTGCAAAAATGTACTAATTTGTCGAATTACGATGTAAAAACTTTAATTAACAGATATGATCAACTGTTCAGTGGCGGGCTGGGGTGCTTCACGGGCGGCAAGGCTCAGTTGCGAGTGCGGGATGGAGCGACCCCAGTGTTCTGTCGCGCGAGGCCGTTACCTTACGCGCTGAAGGGTCAAGTGGACGCGGAATTAGATAAAATGTTGCGAGACGGCATAATTGAACCGGTGAACAGTTCGGACTGGGCAACTCCGTTAGTACCGGTACGTAAGAGTGACGGGGGATTACGCTTATGCGCGGATTATAAAATTACAATTAATCCCGTCTTACTGATCGATAGGTATCCTTTACCGAAAATTGAGGACTTATTAGTTAGTTTAAATGGAGCTCAATGGTTTTCGAAAATTGACTTATCACAGGCTTACAATCAGATTGCTTTAGATAATTCTAAGGATTTGACAGTTATTAATACACATAGGGGGTTATTTAAGTATAATAGGTTGGTATTTGGACTCTCATCTAGTCCGGGGATTTTTCAGCGTATAATGTCCCAGTTACTTGGTGATATGCCCGGAGTAGAAGTGTTCCAGGATGACGTCATAGTTGGAACCAAGGGAGGTCGCGAGGAGCATTTAGCTACACTCGAAAAAGTTTTTTATAAATTGCAATCTCATGGTATGAAATTAAAAAAAAGTAAATGTTCATTTTTAGTAGAAGAAGTTAAATATTTGGGTTATGTAATATCTAAAGAGGGTGTTAAGGTAGATAAGGATAAAATTGAAGCCATTGTTCGAATTCCACGTCCAAAAGATGTATCCGAGCTAAGGTCATTTTTGGGCTTAGTTAATTTTTATGCTAAATTTGTTAAAAACATAAGTCAAATCTTGTATCCGTTATATAAATTATTAAAAAAAGGAATAGGGTGGAAATGGTCGGATGATTGTGAAGAAGCGTTTATTAAAATTAAAAAAATTTTAACGAGTACGAAAGTCTTAGCCCATTACGATGCGGAAAAACCATTGATTCTAACTTGTGATGCGAGCTCAAGAGGCATCGGCGGCGTCCTCGCTCAACCGGAGCCGGGGGGTGCCGAGCGGCCGGTAGTGTACGTATCGCGCGCGTTAACAGAGACCGAGAAGCATTATTCACAGATCGATCGTGAGGCGCTTGCAATTGTATTTTGTTTAAAAAAATTACATCAATATTTATACGGTAGGCGTTTCACGTTGCGAACGGATCATAAACCCCTAGTTAGCATTTTTGGCCCCAAACATGGCATTCCGGCCATGGCAGCGAGTCGTATGCAACGATGGTCAGTAATATTATCTGCGTACACTTACGATATTGAATACGTTAATACAAAACATAACAGCGCCGACGGCTTATCGCGACTGCCCGGCCGCAATGTGAGCGGGGATGACTCACCTCTCGATCCGCCCGAACAGACTTATTTACACTTCGCTCAAAGTGAATTATTGCTCGATTATAATAAAATTAAACAACAAACATTGCGAGATCCTTTATTAGGGAGAGTATTACTGTATATTAAAAGTGGCTGGCCGGATCAAAATGAAATAAGGGAATTGCAACCTTATTTTAATAGAAAAAAAGAGTTATACGAGGAATTAGGATGTATCATGTGGGGTCATA